CATGGTAACATACTATTACGCATTCACTTTTATTTGCGTATTTAATCAAAGTGTTAACAAGTTCACCTAACATTTCACTCATACCAGTCTATATTGTATAGTCTGATTTCTCAAGTATTTGGAGCCACGAATGCTTGTAATTTTCTGACTAAACCCTTTTATTAGTTGGTTTATTTTCCAAAATTCAGTAAAATATTTTTCAAATAAAACATGAGATATTGGATTTATTAGCTTTTCCATTCTGAATCATATAGACTGCTTTATTTATTCTTAACGAAAATTAATAAATCTCCTCTCTTTCTTCAGATGTGAAAGTTGTGGACAAACCTGTCTAAGCATTGTGAGACTCTTGCAGCACAAGAGGCAATAGCAGAAATAGTAAGTATATCAATCAAGAAATTAAGCCGACATAAAGCAAAACTTTCAACTATTCGTCTAATCTCAATTTCCTATTATTTATTCACAGGACAACTATAGCAGACGTGGAGATATCAGAAGTCTGGCGACATATCAGTGACAGTGTGATTACAAGAAATATAATGCAATTGAAAATAGAAAATTGCAATAGAAAAACAACCTATGGAGGCATGCAAAGACATTTGACCCTCCGGTAGAGTTGTGTATGGCCCCCACATCCTGCAGGGCTTGAGGAAAATAACTAAAAATTCCAAAGCGTAAGATTGCATAAGCGGTCTTATTTGTAAAAAGGCACAAAACACGCCAGACATACTTAAAACAGCTTTGGAAATGAGGATTACGGGTACCTCACTGCACCTGTGTTATACTTGGTTCATCAACTTTTGGTAGTACTATAGAAGAAATTCCGAAAGGGGTGTATAATCATCATTCATGATAAAATACTATAATATATTTTTTGAACAACTTCAATCTAGACCAGGGATCTCAAACTCGCGGCCCCAGAGAACTTCCAGTGCGGCCCTCGAACGCTTAACAATAATTGTAATAGTATTTTGGAAGTTTTTTTTTTATCTAAATGTAATAGGTTTTTCAAACCTTCTAAAGTGAAATTGATTATTCACACAGAAAACAATTTACTGAAAGTAGTTTTGGAATATTAATTTTTTTTGTCCACATTTTGACCCAATTAAGAATACACATCAAGCTAGCAAAAGAATACTTGAATAAAACACTTGAGTAATTAAATTAAACGCAAAGTACACGAAGAAGGTGGCATTTTTGAAGAAAATGGGAGTTGTAACATTTCTGCTCTTCACAAAATTCTGAAGCACATTGTTTAATTTGTCATATTTCCATCAATACAATCAAAAAACACAATAAGCTCAGCAGTCAATATGACAAATTCGAAGACCAACTTCGAACAGAAAATTTCCATGTGTTTGTATATTAGTATAATTATACAGCGACTTAGTTACTAAAAATCAATATCAATAATAATTCAAGCAATCCTATGCCACGCAATGTAGTGCGAAATGTCTTGTCGAAAAAATCTGTCATTTGTTTTTTTACTGATCTATACATGAAATGATAAAAGTAACCTTTTTTGCATTACTGGAATTAATTAAACATTCGTAAAGATCCAGATAAACCCATGATCATGTGGCCTCGTTAGTTAGAGTTGGTACTATAAAATCATTTCAGACTGGCCTTAGTATGCTGGTGACACAAAAAAGATGCCAAACGCCAGGACGAATGTAATTATTAAAACATTGAGTTTATACTGTAGTATTTTTGTTAATTTTAGGTTCATATATTTAGATTAAGTTATTTTTAGTGTATGTATTATTCTTTCCTTATTCAAAGCTTGTTCAAAAATGATTTTGATGGTTGTACATAGAATTTTACGATTTTTTATAATAAATACTGTAACTTGCAAATGTTGCAATAATAGTGGAATGCAAATATTAATATGTAATTGCATTTGAAATTGAAGAAAATAATAAAACTTAATCCAACTGTTTAGTTGCATCACAATATATGTCACAAACTAAAACTATCTTAAAAATATTTTTTAAGTATACATTATCAAAAACTGTTTGCGGCTCTTTTTACAATTTTCAAAATGCAATGCGGCTCTCGAAAACCCATGAGTTTGACACCACTGATCTATTCTAGACGATTCAAGCATTGCTTTGGGAAATTATATCACTTCAATTAAATTGAAATAATCTCGCTATATTAAATACAAAATCGTTGCTATCATAGAGGTAAACCAATTCAGCCACTCGAAATATATTGGCCTTCACAAAGCAATGGAGGCAAAATTGAGAGTTCATGAGCTATGAACATTTGTTCTTTTCTTTGTCTTGAACTTTCCATACTCCACAGCCCCTATTAATTTTTTTTAATTTTAATTACCATGTGATGGTCATACATATCTTTAACTTGTATTTTCTGTCATGATGTATTATCTCAATGTGCCAAACTATTAATTTGTGTGCATATTTTGCTTCCAGATGACATAAATGTATTGTCATGTTTATTACCTCAGCTTGGAGTATTGACAAGAAAAAGGTGCCAGTAAATTAGGTAAAAAAATTTTCAACTCATTGTTATAATCAGAATTCACAATCAATAGGAATTATAAACAGCCAACAATCAGTGAGAATTATATGCGAAATCCCTCAGAATAAATTTGTCTAAAATCGGAGGAAGGCAAAAAATATAGGTAGTTTCCATTCACACAAGCATTTCAAGAAGACTTGCTCGAGCCAAACTAAATGAGCATCGTCAGGTGATCGGTAAGGCTGCAAGTTGAATTCAGCCCTGCAACCTCCTGCATAGAAGATAATATTAATTAGTGGGCTATGAGCTAAATTCCTAAATTTAAACAAACCTACTTACGATGCATTATGTACCAGCAATGTTACCTACGATTAACTGAATATGTAATATGTCTAATAAATTCACCTACAAAAGCAAGTTCGATAGGTGCAAACTTTGTGTTATGGAATTGTATCGCAGCACAGTTTCGTATGACACCCTCTTTAAATGAAATTTCAATGATTAAGCGCAAACATTAAAATTACTAACTTTGAACTTTGTCATTATCTGCAAAATGTTCCACACAAATCTTTCCGCTATCGCGTTTGTAATCTTTTCTGATAAAAAAAAAACGTCTATGATGTCCAGAATTGCTCTTTACAGCTTGCCTGTTATTCCAGCTTTCCAAGTAAGCAAAACTTCTTAGATATAGAGATTATTTTGTTTCGTTACAGGCGCAAAAAGGCAGGTACTACACGTAAAAAAGACGCCGAGTAGCAAAAGCGAGCGGAAAACGGACGCGAAAGGCGACGAGAAATATGTGCATTGGAGCGTATCATGAAATACAATGTTTTGCCTGTAGTCTTATGGAGTGACGTCAGAGTTGCCTATCATGTTGTTTAATGTCATTGCTCAGATTAATTAAGCAAAAAGCTTGATCTTGATTAAAGATAGGATTTTCGTAATTATCCCCGGGGACAGGAAAGCCTATAAGACGGCTTAATCATATGACGAACGACGGCATCTCGTTCGGTTACTTCAATTGTGTTATTCGCTGTTTGGGGTAAGTGGGCACGTATATCAGCATGTCCTAAATCTTTTTTGCCCACTTTCCCGATTTTTCGTAAATTTGTTTGTTTTCGCATGTATTGTTTTGTTCTAACGGAAAATCGAAATATGCACTCACACTTATTTACTACCAGTCCGTGTCGGCTATGTGATTAGTTTAACATATTTACGGTTCAACCAGCTATTTGTTTTCGGAAGCATGGACTTGATTGTTGAGGATGCCTTAACCGACCAGGGGTTATTTGTGTGAACCACCCTACACGCAGGCGAGGAGTCCAGTAACCCTCTCCATTGGCGTATCTAGGGTGTGGCAGCCATGGCTCGTGCCATGGGCGCCGTTTGAACAGGGGCGCAAATACTGCAAAGAAGTATTAATCATAAAAAGTTTCAATAAAATAATTTCAGATTGGGAATAATTGAAACTTGTATTTTCACTAAAAAATAATATCGTACAAGTACCCCAATTCAATAAGAGTTATTCTAAATTGTCAAACAACTATCAAGGGGGCTTATTTTTAGACTTTGCCATGGACGCCATTCTACGTAGATACACCACTGACCCCCTCACACATAATTTACCCTGCATTGGATTCGAACACACGCAGGGTAATCAATGGTGGCGAACATATTCCTAACGCTCAGCAAGATGTGCCACACCGCCATGTTATGAAATGACATCACAGATAGTACTCGCCAATTATTCTTTGAAGATTGAACAAATGACTGAAACAGCGTTTTCATGCATAATGATGATTGAATAAAGGGCGCTCCGGAGTATGTGTACCAAGATGACGCACAACCCGAACCTGGTACACTTACTATGTTCATTATGAGATAAATATGTACGATAAATTATGACCCTATGTAATGCAAAACCACTGGCGTTTTCAAACTTACGCCATGTTTTCTTCAAATCCAAGTCGTCTTATCGACCGGTGCTCCCGAAGTATGCGAACCAAGATGGCGGAGATCGGAACGTAACATGGGTAACAGGTTAGGGGATAATTTTTTTCCAATTTTCCTTATTTTAGTCCTATTATCAGTTCGAAGACTAGCCAAGAGCCTCCCGTAGTATTTATTCCTAAAATTATGGCCTAACCCTAACCTAGTACACATATAACATTCCGATGTCCGCCATCTTGGTTCGCATACTTCGGGAGCCCCTATCGGCCTTTCTATCCACATGAGGCAATATAAATCTTTATCTATTGCTTGTTCAACCGGAGCTAAGTCTGGTGAGGGTATGAGCTACAATTTGTTACAGTGATTTCCCTACACCCCCCTCTCCAAAAGTCCCCCCGATCCCCCTAAATAAAATTTGTTAAAATATTCAGGAGTGGCTTTAGTAAGTTACAAATAGTTTTATCACTAACAATAAAATATGTACCTTCCCCCAAATTTGGAAACACCCCCCCCCCCCTTAAAATGAAAAGCTGGGGAACATATGCCCTCAAATATGACAATGCGAGTTTTTTCAAACATTCTTTTATTCACCAAGTATATTCATCAAAAAGTTTTTTCCGTGTAACAAAATATTTGACATAAAAATATGGAAAATTGACGTTTTGATAAGAGCCAAACTGTATAAAGATTCCAAATTAATATTTTCGAACTCTATGATTGTTCAAAAAGGAGGAATCCTCAATTTCATCAATTTATGGGAAATTCAAAAAAGTTTCACTTGTCAAATTAATAAATTTGAAATAACTCCTATTATATTAAAAAAATTATTATTGACATCAAATCAACATTAATGTAGCGTAATCAACAACATATCAATATAATTATAAAAAAGGAAAACATTTTAAACTCCATTCAGCTCAAAGTCAGTTCATTTAACACAATGTTTGTTTTTCAAACGGGGTAGAATCCCCCCCCCCCCATTGAAGAAAAAAATTTCACTTTGTATTTGGTGTTGTTCGACTAATATTGTTTTAAAGCATTTCAACGCAAATATATCTATGATCTCTTTTTTCAGGTGGTGGGGGGTTGGGGGGGCAATTAGGTTGAAGCTAAACATTAACATTGATATGACATTATCTGACAAATCGTAATAAAAAATGTGGTGAAAAAAAATTGTGTAGCCCATTAACTTTTATATACAAGGGAAAATCTTCAAGAAAGACAAAAAAAGGCAGTTTCAGTTTAATAATTGAAATGAAAATAACCATTTGTAGCAAAAAAAGAATTATCATCTCATTTCTAATACAATCAAATTTAACTACCATATTTCCTGGCGAATAAGTCTGCCGGGTCAATGAGACGAGGCCCATTTTCCAGCCTGAAAAAATGGGTTTTTGCATATAACCTGCCAATAAGTCGGGGTAGTGAAATCGCATCAACATCGGAATCCCAAATTACCATGCAATGCCTCTTGAGCGGCGCCTCGTTTGTGCATTGGTTTAAAATAGCTTATAATGACGTTTTCTTGTAGCGTAATTTCCAATCCATAATAACTACGGGAATTCAAACTGTCTTTAAATTTTAATCTACTTATGTATGTTTAACTCACGATTGCGTCCACCATAAAAGAACATTACCTAATACATAATAAGGCGACAACAAAAAAATGAAATATATCATACTCGCCTAATAAGACGACCCCCCCCCCAAAAAAAAAATCAGGCCAAAAATTTGGGTCTAGAAAAGAGACTTATTTGCCGGGAAATACGATAATTTATCAAAAAGTCTAAAACAAATAATATAAATATTTAAAAAAATCAAAGATGTTTCTGTGGAGCAGTAGTGGGTCATGGCTAGCTACAGAAGATTGACAAATAACTAAAGTTTTTTTTCATGCATATTCAAAGAGGAATAAAAAGTTTCAAAATAGGCAAAGGATTGGGAACCACCGATTGTTTAGATTGCTTTGTTTGGTCATAGTTAAATTATTATGGAAATCACAGAGCATAAATGAACAAAATATTTCACTCAAAATCAATAAAAAAAATCTGATTACATGAAATAAAACAAAAACAACACTCTATATTTTTTTTCAATTTTTTTTCAAATAAAGTTTGTCTAAAACTTTCAAAGTTACTTGATTCTATTCTCTCCGGTGGGATAAATTTGAAAATCCCATCCTATCAGTATTTATTACAGATGACATCTTAGTCAGCAGAAACAGCCAGATTATAATACAATTACAACATCCAAAGCAAAATAGCAGCACATAGTATGTGACTAAATAGAATGGCGAGAGCGCTTCCCCATCTCAGTGACTTTTGACTTGTCATGGTCATTTGTCATGACTGACCCTGTATCAGCATAAATCGCATTAGGCGGGGCAGTGATATTTTTTGGCGGGGCAGTTCCTGTGTCATCATAAATTGCATTGAGCGGGGCAGTGATATGATCTGGCAGGGCAGTGCCTGTGTCATCATAAATCGCATTGGGTGGGGCAGTGATATTTTCTGGCGGGGCAGTGCCTGTGTCATCATAAATCGCATTGGGTGGGGCAGTGATATTTTCTGGCGGGGCAGTCCCTGTGTCATCATAAATCGCATTGGGCGGGGCAGCATCATTTTCAGCCCCGGCATACACAACCTCTGCAATCGGGGTTTGACGAGCAATGCTAGGGTTTGATGGGGTGGTAAGTACGGCATATCCTTCAGCATCATGAGGCAATTCAGTCTTGGGGGTTGGTGGCTTTCTGGAAGGTTGTATTGGGATTGGTGGTTTGGGGGCAGGAATATTTTCTGGGACAATATAATCGGGCTCTTGGATATCAGCATAAGCGATTTCATAAGCCTCCTCAACACTTTGTATTTGAACAGTTTGTTGGGGCATCGGGGACAGATACCCTTCTCCATCTACCTCGGGCACGATTTGGGGGTTTTGTCCAGAACTACCGAGCGGTCCGGCAATCTCTTCATAAACGGGCTCTAGTGCCAACCTTGCGATATTTTCTCCGTCGCCTTGTTGTCTGTAACAAAGAAATATCGTAAGTTGAGATATAAAAGGTTTGGGGAGGGGGGGGGGGTTGATAGAAAAATTCACTCCACCTGTATTTCCAATAAATCAATAATCCAATCACAACAGCTATCATTGCTACCATCACGGATGCAACTATTGGCAAAATTATCATGAGAGAGTCGGTAGAGACAGGGTTAGACGTCATCTGGTTGGATATGTTAAAATGGGACATTGGTGTATCTATAGTCTGGTTGGATATGTTAAAATGGGACATTGGTGTATGAGTAGTCTGGTTGGATATGTTGAAATGGGACATTGGTGTATGAGTAGTCTGGTTGGATATGTTAAAATGGGAGATTGGTGTATGAGTAGTCTGGTTGGATATGTTGAAATGGGACATTGGTGTATGAGTAGTCTGGTTGGATATGTTAAAATGGGAGATTGGTGTATGAGTAGTCTGGTTGGATATGTTGAAATGGGACATTGGTGTATGAGTAGTTTGGTTGGGTTTGTTTGCCTGGGTAGTTGATGCAATATGATTGGTTGAATTAAGGGGTACGGTTACTGATTGGCTGGGAGTCTGTAGGGCCGTGGTAGTTGGTTGTTCAAGTCTTTTTCCTGAAATATAAGATAGAAATCTATAATTTTACAATTCCTCACATATCGGCCAATGAAGATAAACACACAAATAGGGCCAAATAAATACAGATGATAGCTTTGCAGAGACCACACATATTCAGAACAGTTAATTCATTGTAACCAGAGCAGTGAGGCCATGATTTCCCTGGAGGTGAATAATCTACGATTCTGATGGAATATTTTCAAATATCGAACATATTCTAAAGAAAGTCTAGAAGTGCTCAACACAAATAACTTTTCAATTTTACCTATTTTGAAAATGAAAAACTTCAAATAGATTTATTGCAGTGAGCAGGAACAAATGTTAAACTGGGAGATACTGATCCTTCAACATATATACAGTAACTTATCATTGATGCTTGATTGGAGAGCCTTGTTCAGAACAATCTTGCAACTTTCCAAATAAGAAATAGTTTCACCTGTTTTACAATCGATGTATTCATAAGTAAATTTGAATCGAACTTTAGAAGGCTGGCATTCGTCGTTAACCCATACATCCGTTACTCTGTCCCAGTGCTCAGTCATACATGTCGTATTTACTTCATTCAAGCAATTACCAGGTTCACGGTTTATCCAACATACCTCGTCGGTGTTTGATGGAAGTGTGAGGAGGGAAACGCGGCCAATATCTGTAATAAAGTATGGTAAGATAAATAAACTGACCATAGATGCGTTATAGGCAGGGCTGCCATCGATATTAACCCGAAAAAAGGACATCAGAGAAACATACTAATAGAATAATGAGATAGCGATCGAAGACCGCTTAGGCTTTTATCATCGTGAGTTTCATTTTGTTATTTATTATCATTGCATTCAGGCTTTTATTTAACTAACTCCAGTTAATGCTTGAACAAATGTTATTCTGTAACTTTTTCTGCGACTCCAATATCAGTCTTCCCTTTCCAGGAACAAGAATTGTTAATCTGATGTATAGAAATATAGCTGTGGCCTGTGAGCATATATGCTATTGGTATTGGAAAATTATAAATTGATATATTTTGAAGTGAATCATGATAATGATAAAATCTTTCGATATTTTGATAACTTTGTGCAGTTACATCTGAAATACTGCTGATATTTTGCCATGATAATAGATCAGGGGTCTGCCTACTTGTGTCTGCTGAAAATATGACTTTAGTTTTATGAATATAAATAACCATTGAAAATATCGATATGGATTGTATGGATGTTTCCCCGACCGTCAATTTACTTGTTTCTTTCCGTACCAATGACCAATCAGCAAAAAGTTTTTGATAACGTAACAATCAAAATTTTTGCAGCCGCTCAGACTCATTTTTTCAGACAAATATTCAAGCATGGTTGCAAACATCGTCTCGTTTTGTGGAGCTTTGCGTGTTATTTGTTAGTTCTTTGTTGTGTTTCCAAAAATGAGTAGAAATGAACTATTTTAATTGTCACTATGTCATTAGATTTGCTGCAGTTTAGTTCAAAATTTAGTCCCGGGAAATCTGCGATAGACACTGCTAAAACGACCTACTAGTACGCTACTAGCTAGTAATAATAAAGTATAGAAATAAATGGTCGCGGAAAGGTCCATTTATAAGCGTCTGAACATAAGGAGCAAAATAGTTCCGCATCTGAATTATTTATGTCAATCAAAAACTGTAGTTCCCGAATCCTAATATATATATCAGCATTAACTCCCCCCCCAGGAAGTTAAAACATGGGGCAGCAGGAGGCAATTGCACATTCTCAAAGATAAGGATAGTTGAGTTAAAATGGCCGATTGTTTTCTTCAGCATGACATGGGTATTTGACATATACAAACTACAAAAGTTCATATTACAGTTCTTGAATAGTTACTGCTTAACAGTGAGTGAAAATATAATGGTTCCAAATCACGAATCTACAACAAAACATACATTGTGTTCCCGGACATGTTAGTTTACATGTTGCATAAACTTTTTAAAAATTATTTTTGTCGTTTCAAGTTTTTATGCCTGTTTCATCGTGTTTCTTTTAGATATATTCTATGGGGGGATTGCCTGTGACTACATTTATGTCAAACGATCCCTATTTTTTAAATTTTGACAATTTTCCAGAATTCCCTGGTTTGGTATCAAGGCTTAGGGCTTAACTTATGCCTATTGTTGTCATTTTTGCACCTTGACTGACTTTGAGACAAACTATGTGTAACCAACATCAAACCCCATCGAGGTCTCCGAACATCATAGTCTAACTTATGTTATGAAATACGTACCAGATTCTTGGCCTGTAATGTTAATGTTGAGACTTCCTTGTGAAATAAATGTTGTTGTGAAATTCAATTTGAGCATCGTTTGATGAGGTAGTACAAAATGCCATGAACATCTCTTCCCGTTGTAACATTCACTTTCATTTGCTGGGGACTTGATTTCTCCACTAAAGTTTGATACGGTTGATCCACAACTCTGTCCATTCACCCATGAGATTCCTGAAATTAACAGAATGAGAGTCAAGTTCAGAGGCCTGGCCAGAAATTTTTAAAGGGGGGGGGGGGGGGGAAACAGCCAGGGGGTCTGGCCGAGCGCCGGAAAACATGGATTATAAAGAGTCTTGGGGGGGGGTTACGACCCCCAAAACCACCCCCTGCCTACGACCTTGGTCAAGTTAACCGGTGAGAGAATTTTAAAAATGAAACATTTTGAATTAAAAAAAAGTAATAGCCATCCATTCCAATTCCATATTCTACAACTATCGGTAATTTGAAGGCAATTGGTCCACGATCAGGTGGAAAAACCACTTTTCTCTTTGATTACTGGACCATTTGCTTTGACATTTTCAGAGCTTAAAGATTGCATTTTTCTCTAGAAGGCTATTACTTTTATTTATATCAAATATTCCGGTGAACTGGAATTCGTTTTTGTGTGTGCTATGAGTCTATGACGTCATCAAAATTAGCCACCATGTGGCGCTCTGTGTACATATATTTGAGCATAGTTCTCTTGTTTCACAAATAAAAAAAATATCAACAAAATATAGCAAAACAATTCATAGGCACAATTAAAATGGGGGGAATCATATTCATCCCAGAAGCAAGAAAACTTGGTGAGGTGGCTTGGAAATCTGGGAGCCAGGGGGAAGGTGTATTGAGGGTCAGACCCCCCCCCCCCCCCCCCCTTAAAAAGTAAGAAAAAAATAAAGCAATTTTCTATATCATACATATCAATTATTAGTAGCTTGAAATGCATCTTATACTCTCAAGTCTCTTGAAACCCCATGTTTTCCCAACCCGCTAGCTAGCTGTTACGGTTTAACTTGGTAATTAGAAATTTCAGAACCCCCCCCCCCCCCCCTCTAAAAATTCCTGGCTATGCAACAGCTGATATTTCAAAAAAGTTAAGAAGCTAGAATTCTTGAAAGGACAAAAAAATTTGCATTCAGCAATGCCTACCTCATTTATTACATTCCCGAAGAGGTGGGGTCTGGGCGCAGCCAGTGAGGGGGAGTTACATGGGTCGTAAACCAGCAAAACATTCACAGAACGATATCTAGCGAATGAATGCATCTACACGCAACTCTAGAATTTATTCAATACCATTTCGCTATGAATGACACACAATTTTAAAACACACCATTTTTTGTTCGTTCGGCATTCCCTAGGCCGTCGTTTGACGCACTGTTTTAATTTCAATGTAACCCCCCGTTTGAAAAACCCTGGCTGTGCTGCTGGGTGGGGTACATGGGTTTAGAACTCAGGTATGTAATTTGTGATACTAACTGTTGAGTTTCAACCCTAGGCTGTCTTGCTCACGGTTTAAATTGAATACTACCAAGTTTCAGAATGAGCTGTATCTCCATTTGAAGATTTGTCAGCATTTGATGGTCAGACTAGAAGTCTGACATTCTGGATTAAAAAATTCAATTTTAGACATTTCTTTGTTGAAAATGACCAATTTCCTGATTTTAGAAAAATAATTCCATATGTTGTAGGGATGGCCAATACCGAATATTTCACTATTTCGAATACATTCGAAATTATTATTTTCGAATATGAAATTTTGAATACTTCAAAAATATAATCAAGTTGAAGAAGCTCTTCTAAGTGTATGAAAGAATTTCCATACAATAAACAATGGAATACTTGCTATTTACAACCTATATACCATGAGTTATGTTAACAGAATTAAATTAATATGGCAAGGCATTTTAAATAGTGGTATCGGTGATGGATTTAAATATTTGCGCAACACAAAATCATCCTAGTAAAACGCCCATACTTTTTTTTAAATACCAACCATTATTCAAAGTATTTGCCAAAAAGCGGGATAAAGTACGAGTTATTTTTCCGACTTGTTACAATTTTTTTCTGAGTACAAAAATATGAATCAAAAATTAATTATATTCGGGAACTTTACCACACATATTAAGTCCTCAGATCGCCGTTGTATGTTTGAGTAATAATACTTTTCTTATTTTATAAATATGAAAATAGAAATCAAAAACTAATTATAATCGGGTAGTTTACCACTCTTCTAAGTCCACAGATTGCCGTTTTATTTTGTAAATACAAAAATAGGAATCAAAAATTCATATTAACCGTGAGCTTGCCACACAATTTATGTCCACAGATTGCCGTGATATTGTGCCCGAATGTAATTCATTTTTGATTCTTATTTTCGGACTTACGGAAAAAATGCCACAAGTCAGAAAAATAATTTATACTTTATCCCGCTTTTTGGGAAATAATTTGGATGTCATTGGTTTGTATTTAAAAGTATGGACTTTTTACTAGGATGATGTCGTGCTGCGCAAAATATTCGAATCCATGACCGATACCACTATTTAAAATGCCTTACTGTGTTAATTTAATTCTATTAACATAACTCAAATATCGGTCAGTTTACCGCACATTTTATGTCCACAGATTGTCGATACAATCATGAGTTATATTGAACAGAATTATATTAATATGGCATGACATTTTAAATGCTGTTATCGGTCATGGATCGGATTATTTTGCGCAACAAAAATCATCCTGGTGAAGGATCGATACTTGTAACTATCGCTATCAAAATTATTTGCCAGAAAGCGGGTAAAAGTATTTTTCCTAATAAATCGACTTGTTTTTTGGACTTTGCAACTATTCATTGATTATCGTAACAATTAAGGCTATAAATAATTGTCAATTTTTCAACGTAATGGAAATGGATGTGTAAATTAAAAGCCTCGTAGACGAATGTCGGCAATGTCCACTCACACAAACGTGTCCCAACACTATGCGACGCACGGTCGCACAGAATATAAACAATCAAAGTGCCGATTCTATTTCATCGTCAATACAATATGTGAGAAAGCAGCCGAAAAGGTATTCGAATAAATAAAATTTTGGGTGCTCTAGAAGTATGTGTACCAAGATGGCGCACAACCTGAACATAGTATGTGTACCAGATTAGAGTTCAGGTTGTGCGTCATCTTGGTACCATACTTCCGGACACCCAAATTTTGTTTATATTGAATTGTTAAACTACGGGTGAGGAAAACTGATAAGACGGCTATTATGGATGACTACCATCAGTTATGGGGTAGAACAGGGGTCGGGAACCCATGGCTTGCGAGCCATATATGGCTCTTTTAGTGACGACATATGGCTCCCAGAAAAATCCAATATTCTGAGGCCAAGCTTACTATTGTTACGAGATTCCAAACTCTTTCATAGCCAAATTTGGCAGAAAATTTGTTAATACGTTTGAAAAGGCGCGCCCAGCGCATGTCTATGTTATGTAAGAGAATTACCAGATAGGCATTGTGATGAAACTAGGGGATTCCGGAACATATTTTGTGAAATCACAAAGCGATAGGGTCGCGGAGCAATAGAGAAAAGCTTTTCGTCCGTTTGTACGTCTGGTTATACAGTATTTGTCATATTTACATCAGACTAGCAAAGTTAGTTTTACTACTAAAATACTACGGTGATGCCTAAACAAAAGAAGAGTGATGAGTATCGTAGATTTCAACTTGTGCTGCATGTGAGCAGCCGCTCAAGGCCCGCAGCGACAACATGCAGCATCAGAAGACACATTAAATGTATATTGACATCGTATATGTGTTGACTTTTAAATAATTTCAGGCCTGAACCAAAAAGGCTATATGGCTCGCACGAAAATGCAATTGTAAATATGTACTTTTTATGGCTTTCTTGACCAAAAAGGTTCCCGACTCCTGGGGTAGAAGATATTTCTCAACCCTTCGCAAAACTACCGTAATAATAGCATGGCATGATTGCATAGAGCCTTGTTCTGAGAATTAGGATAAAACAAATTGGGCTTTAGCATCGGCGAGTTATTTCATGTCCCCACCGAACCCAGGATTCAAAAATATTCAAAAAAGCTAAAAATGTTCAACCCACCTCCAATGAGGAGTAAAACTCCAATCCACTGAATGGTCTTCATTGAATAATTTCGTTTCCAAAATGTAGAAATTCAGATTGAATACATACACGTCCACCCCGCCCAAGGTACTCACTGCGTATGACATTGTGAATGGTAGATGCATTGAAGCCAGACTTGCTAAAAAAATATAAATTAGTTGCATTTCTGTGTGTTATGTATAAAGCATATCATTTGAAACCGGACAATACTCGGGCCATGCTTGAATCATATATAAATGTTTTTTTACCCCAGGGCCATGCATTGTCTAGTATTGTAGTAATAGCGTAGTTACAATTACAAAATTATAATTACTGATAAATTCCACTGAAATTTGAAAGTTTGGGTTCAATATTTGACACATTATTTAACGACCCCAAAAACAATGAACTGTTTATTTTTCCAGCTGACAAATTTCCTTTCTCTTAACAAGGAAGCTATACCCAAATATAGTTTTACTCACATCATGTGTGGGCCACACATTAAAAATAGACAATATGTACGGACCATGCTCGATTAAATATGAATAGAATCCTACTTTTAGTTTATATTATACATCACACCTACGTCATGCATCAATGTCTAAATTTATCAAATGTTCCAGCAGTGTTGAATTGCATTTATTTAAATCGGCATTTCCTAAGTTAAAAGGAATAATTTCCCAAAAACTTTTTTTTTGGGGGGGAGGGGGTATCTTGCAGTACTAATTAGTTCCAAGCCTTTTTTGTTAAATTCTCCTCTTCGCCTATTTGGAAGTCTTTATTTTTTACTTTATTTATTCAATGTTAAAAGTGTCCTTAGTTATTGTTATGTGCAAGTCACAATCCCGCATTTGTACACTTCAATTTTTTATCATTTTACAATTCTTATTAGGTGTGGGGCAATGACACTATCAAATTTAAATATATTTTCCAGAATCCTGGTTTGCTTTATTTTCTCATTCGAATTTTTTACTAAGTAGTATTCATTGATGCTTGTCTAGACAGAATAATCCCATCCTAATAGTCAAGTGCTAGTGCTGCCAATTCTTACTTGGTTTAGTTGAGATCAAGTTATAATAGATCCCGAATATTGATTCCCAGATGGAATCATTAAAGCATGACTGGCCAGAAAGATCTCATATAAACAAACAAGCTTCAGTGCTGCTAGTTCTTCTATTTTTAGTTTCAAGTCGAGGACAAATGAAAATAAAACAGTAAAAGACCTCATAAATCTAAGTTAAGTTATCAGTAAGAAGCCGTTATTTCAATTTGGCTAAAATACTGATATAAAAGCTGCAAAAAACCAATGCATTTTAAAGAGTAACTGCAGTGGCCACATAATCGAATTATCCAAAGGTGAAAATATTACTCAACTTATTTTATTTCCTTGGGTGCATGAACCATATATTTTTGAAGAGTGGAAGTGGTGACTCCTCTACGGCCCATGGGCCGGGGCCACAGCCCATCAGGCTATGGGCCGCGGCCCATTAAGTTGTGTAAAGGAACTATTCACATGGCTAACACAGACAGTCCCCGACCTCATAATAGAACTATAATGTGAAAAATCTAAACAAAATTTTGTCCTTCCCCCAACCTGGTACACATACTACAGGAGTATCCTTTTCTGTAGCTTGGTATTTTGCTTTATTTATATATAAATGCTTATCGTAAAAAAAATGATTTTTTTTGGTTCGAATATTAACAATTTTGTAAAAATTGAAAATTTTGGTGAGATAATTGAATTTTTCCTGATGGGGCCGCAGCCCATAATTTGATGGGCCACGGCCATGTGGCCCAATAAGATGGCCCGTAGAGAAGTCACCACCCCTGTAGTTTTTTAAGGCAAGGAGCATATGGCAGTGGGCACAAGTCTCCGATTTCAAGGTGTCCCTACATTTGGTTCAATAAAACAAACACTAGTTGCCTCTGAAACGAGGGCATCTGGCATGCCATGCTTGCCTTCATATTAATTTGAGTCAATCGTGACATGAGTTGTGCCAATCGGCCATCATGTTACCAAAATTGTGGTTTTTTGCTTTTTCGGCCCAGACTGTCTCAGGAAGGAGGGGTTGGCACTCACTGTTATAATTGATGTCTTTTAATGGGGGGGGCTATTTTTGAAATTGGAAAACTGTGCCATACTGTAAGGCAGGGGTTGGCAACCTTTTGTCACTCGTGGGCCAAAATTGAGGGTTGCAAGACATGGGCGGGCCGCATATATTTTTACAAAGTTGAAAACCGAACGGATGATACTTTTTATTTTTAAAATCAAGCAGTGATACATCTCTCGAATATATTATTGATTTATTTCCTCATTGCATTGCATCTCAGAAAATTCCATGTGAATATTTTCGGCGCCATTAATAAACCCTTTGCACCTAGCATCAACATTTCGGGTCTCGTGTAGTTTCTTACCTAATATACTTCTAGTGGGCGTAGCATCACAATTTTTTGACATGTCAATCCTAACCCCCACCAGACTATGCGATCCAAAAATTACATCACTACAACATCACAATCACGTCATAGAGCTTGTTAAATATACGTACTATCGCCCGAAATGGCATCGGCGCCGACGATAAAAAACTTACTAACGTCAGCGATCTCCCTCATATTGGAATCGTCGCGACGTGAAAACGAGAGAAATAGCCGTTCGATTTCGGGTGCGCAGACGTGCGCGTCTTGGATGACAGTTCGTATAGTTTGAAGGTCTCTATTACGTCACTGTGACGTCGTCGAGACGTAATATTTGGTTGGCATAGTCAGGTGGGGGTTAGGATTGACACATGAAAAAATTGTTGTGCTACGCCCGCTAGAAGTATGTTAGGTAGGAAACTACATGAGACCCCAACATTTCTGCGTTTTGTTGCCATTTGTCTAATTATAATTTATTTATAGGCTCATTAAATTAGTAATTGTCAATTTTATAGTTTGTTAGATTATAATATAATTTAGTCTACACATATCTCACAATGAATTCGTTTAGGTAAAGATTATAATCGGCGAAACAGCTGTTGGTTACTATAATTCAGTGAAGCGTTGCGGGCCGCATTCCCGACCCCTGCTGTAAGGGCTATATCTCTTCGCAATAAAGCACTAAATTTCCTCTTCTAAATTTTCCTCTAATTATGCTAATCAAATTACCAAAATCAGGACACAGCGTTGATAGTTCTGATATAAATCCCATTAATGAGCACATACTGTGACTAGAGTCACTACTCCCACTAGTATGACCGAATTTATTCCGAGTAAGGTCTACAACACCTGGGGAAAGCATTCTAAAACAGAAATGAAATATCATTTAATTTTGCTCAAACTGTCAAAGCAAGTTACCAGTGATATGTGTAATTATAAGTACATTTTGACTCCATAATTAGCATAAGAGCATATGGCATAATAGTTTTATACCCATTGCCTAATTGAATATCAATATGGCAGTATGGTGAGAGTATGGTACAGCTAAAAGAAGGTACAGGGGTGGTGACTCCTTTATGGCCCATGGGCCGGAGCCACAGCCTATCTAATTGGGCCACATGAGCCGAGGCCCCATTAGGAAAAATTCAATTATCTTACCAAAATTATCAATTTTTACAAAATTGTCAATATTCGAACCAAAAAAAATTGCGGTATGCCACTAAATTTTTTTTTACGATAAGCCTTTATATAAAAATAAAGCAAGATACCAAGCTACAGGAAAGGATACTCTTGTAGTATGTGTACCAGGTTAGGGTTGGACAAAATTTTGTTCAGATTTTTCACATCATAGTTTTATTGCAGTATTATGAGTTCGGGGACTGTCTGTGTTAGCCAAGTGAATATACTCCGTGCCATAAGTTTCAGTCCTTTTACACAACTTGATGGGCCGCGACCCCGGCCCATGGGCCGTAGAGGAGTCATCACTTCCACTCAAAATAAGGATACAAGCCAAAGTTGTATATATTATCTTGTTGCATGACACGCCACATTTGAATACTGGAATAAGTATATTCCAACTCGATAGTCAACAGAAAATATAGGATTTTCATATTTATTTTCTTAAACGGGAGAGAAAAGCCTATAACAGTATAAGATGACAAAATTCTGTAATCATATGGCGTACCACTTACGAACACCCATGTCGGGTTTGCTGGTTTAGGAAGAGTTGACCAGTTAATTATTTCAGTTGCATGGACGTGATGGGCTTGGCAAAATTGATAAAAATAAATCGAGACCGATTACGGAATCAGGTGAGTAAATATGATCTTAAATAATGTTCAAGTTATCGCCAAAAGAGTTATTGTCACCAGTGTAAAATTATTTTTAAAAGTCCGCAAAAAGCTGCCGTAACACCTGAAATTCCTGAATAACGGTACCGACAGCCAGACAGCCAGCACACTTTTGAAAATCCCGGTGTTGTCCTGACCCTTGACCCCTGTAAAGTTCTACCTATAGAGCAGTGGTCGGCAACCACCGGGCCGCGGCTCATAGCCGGTCCGCGGAATAGTTACTGCCAATCCGTAGAGAGGTGACACAAAAACGGACAAGGCCGTAATAAAACCTCTACAATCTAACCACAAACCCTACGATTAAAAAACAGCACCCAACAGTAAACCAGACAAACACAACACCAGGGGTCGGAAAAAATGCGGCTGCGAGCTAATATGTTGCGGCCATTGAACGACCCGACATTTAATAAATGAAACCAAAATTTAATCCCAAATTTATTATTGTCTGTAGACGGATTTATGTGGTGACAAGTGCTGCTGTACGGCGCAAGTATCGTCAGTTGTAGGTCGTTCGAGTTAATTCTGCATTTTAAAATGTCTGGAAAACGGAGCGACGCGGGTCGAGCATTTCAAAGTGCTTGAACGGAAAAATATTTTTCTTTCTTGCGCATTCCAAAACCGGTTTGCTCGATATGCCCAGTCAGCATCGCAGTTGTTAAGGGTTTCAATGTTAAACTCGTTACGGAACGAGTCATCGAAAATTCGACCCCGAGACCCGGGACTGCGCCACAGTTCATCTGTGCGACAGTGCAAAACGTGTAATGTGCACGTTCGGAAGAACATTATGGCCTTGAGCATCTTTATCTAAAATGCATTACACTTAGATTAAATTTCGTACTCGCTTGTCAGATCATCATTTGGACGTAAAGTTGCCAGAAAAACATCATCTTTCACATTGATAATAAGTAGGCTACATAAAAACAATGTTTTGTTGGCTAATAGAAAAAACGCCACATATACATCACATTGGGACAGGCTTTCAACACAGCAATAGAAGGGTAGCAATGCGAATGCGCCATAATTTGAATTTTATTATGGTAGCGATTGTTGGAAGGCGGAAATATTGCGGCCCGCGTGCTACCAGAAATGTTTATATTTGGCCCGCATGTACATGAAGTTTGCCGACAACACTGCACAACACTATTGAGCAGCATGTCTGACTTCATAAACAATTGTCATGTCAGTATGTCGCAATAATGCTGGGTCAATTGTTTTCTCTACGCCCGTATAAGAATGCCTCTCATCAGTCCGACTAAAATCCCGACAAAGCGATACAGGCATTGTTAACTTTCCCGAAATCTTAATGTGAGGCCTGGTTTTCAATATTGATAACTACAAAAATAAAATATCGAAATAGGCTGGAAGTAAGAAACACGTTACGTGTGTCAATGTCGACCATATCTCGAATATGGGAACAGTTAATGGTCATCAAACAAATACAGACATCACAGTAAATAGCATCACCGTCGTTTTTAGCATATTGTCAACATAAATTTCCTAATGCGTATAATTTATTGCATAGGCTTAGTTCGTTTGTATAAAGGTGGTCCGCCAAAAGTTTGGTCAAGCTTTACCGGCCCGTCACTTGAAAAAGGTTGCCGACCACTGCTATAGAGACTTGCATGTATCACGTGACTTTGTTTACTGGACGGCAAAAAAAACGTCCAGCTGGCTCCTATCAGTTGCAAGTCGGATTATACGTTTTCGTTTTGTTTGGCTGTTGAGAATGGTTGTTTCGTATTGTACCGTTGGCTGTACGTATAGTATATAGACAACGAAATGGATCTTCAGTTATATTCCGCTGTTTTCAAAAGATTCGGAACGTCGCGCAATGTGGGTATTATCTATTCTGTCTATTGGCAGGACTGCTTGGTGTCAAGTCCAGAAGTCATCTCTCTTGTGTTTCACTGTTTGCGGACAGCACTCGTTGATGGTGAGTGATAATGTGCCGTTATCAATTTCTTCAAATATCCATAAGCTCCCTCATTTAAATGGAAATCAGATGACAA